GGGGGCCGGGGAACGCCCCCATGACGCCCGTGTGCAGGCCGCTGAGGGGCCATCCCCGCCCAGCCTGGCCTCTTGGCGGGAGGGAGCGCCCCCGAGCACCAGGCCTGGGGGGAGCCATGTTGACTGGGAGGAAAGCCCCTGGAGTGGGAAGGGAAACCAGAGCACCGGAGCGTGGAGCATGGAGCATCCTGCTTCCCCCGCGTGGCTCCTTAGCCAGCACCAGGTCTCCAGAGGGCGCGGCGGGGCCAGGCCTGCTCAGAAAACACCTGGCCAGGTGCATGCAGGACCAGGACCAGGCCGGGCCGTGGCTGCGCCCAAGGAGCTCCGCACGTGACCCAGCCTGCGAACACCAGAATCCGGACCGGGACGGGCTGGTGCCTTTCCCTCTCGCCCCCCTCGAGGGAAACCTGCCCCACTGGGACAGCGAGCCAGCCCGGGCCCGGGGCACCTCCAGCCACGGTGTTCTCAGCGGCACGACCTCTAGGACCTCCCCAGCACGGAGGGGAGAGGACGCCCTGCAGGGTGCCTCAGTGCAGTCGGAGGCGGTGCATCCCTCTGCATCAGTCACCTGGCTGAGTCTGGCAGTGGCCAGCTCTGGAGCCTGGGAGGGGACCCCGCCCGGACCGGCCAGCCCTGCAGTGCAACCCCCGCATCCCTCGGCATGCACAGGCCGGAGCATGGAGCGGGGGCTCCTTCCTGAGCCATGGGCACTGGGCTGCTCCCCCCCACGCCGCTCAGCTGCCACATGCCCTGGCCCCGCACACAGGCAGGATTCCTAGTGGAAGATGGGGACACGCTGTCATTTTTCTCCGCCATGTCCCAATCTGTCCGTCAGCAAATGCCCCCTCCTGCCCCCCCCCACACAGAGCTTGTGTTTGAATCTGAGTCTCCTGCTTCCAGGGAATCGATACCAAAAGCTGCTCCCCCACGCCGCTCAGCTGCCACATGCCCTGGCCCCGCACACAGGCAGGATTCCTAGTGGAAGATGGGGACACGCTGTCATTTTTCTCCGCCATGTCCCAATCTGTCCGTCAGCAAATGCCCCCTCCTGCCCCCCCCCACACAGAGCTTGTGTTTGAATCTGAGTCTCCTGCTTCCAGGGAATCGATACCAAAAGCTGCTGACACGCACCCCTGGCTCTTGGCAAGGCACGGAGACCAGCCGCCTGGCGCGCCACCCAGCTTGCGCCCCACCTGCAGCCACGAAAACCAGGGGCAGCCCCACCCCACGGAACGTCAAGCCCCTCTCTGCCCCAGTGCCCCTTCGGCAGCAGTTGGCTCCGCCATCCCACCACGCCCTGCCCCGGGACGAGGCCGCGGGAGACAGGCTGGTGCTGCCCCATGCCTGCATGCAAGAGGCACAGTCGCCACTTACCCAGAGAGACCAGCAAGCCGAGCCCACTGAGGCACAGGGT